TGTTACGAAATGTACAGGCATGGTAAGATGGCTTCCACACAAAGCAGTTTTAGGGTTGCCATAAAATAGCAAGGAATGCAGGGTTGCCAGATTTGGCGACATGCCATGGACGGATGGAGAACCTTCTGGAACAAATTCTTACAGGTTTAGTCCAGAATGTTCTCGAACACAAGGCAAAAGCTATATAAACCCTGCTGGTACATGGAGTGCAGAGTTAATGTGCTTCATCTACAAAGCAAGATAGTGTGTGCCTCATCTAGTTAGCCCGTGCGGAGACAATCGAGTTGACAGTGGAGAGTCTCGAGAGTATGTGGAGTTCCGAGAACGACCGAGCAGAGTCAGGAACTGTACTCTGGTGCTTTGCAGTGAAGCTGTTTGGACCGTTATAGCCTGACAGTCTGAAGGCTGTGTTGCTGAGTTTCAGCGTGTTTATAATAGATCATCGACGACTGTAAAAAGTTACTACTTCATCAAGTGTCATTATTCACTCCAAATCCACACGAACTGCGTACGAATGTGAAGGAAGAAAATAATGTAACAAGATAAAACTAGATATGATAAACAAAATTCATCATACAATATGTTGCAGCTGAACAAATTTACATTCTTTTACTGTACATTTTATTATTTTTTGAGCCAGTAAGAGAGAATTGTCCACTAAGCATATAGACTGAGCATAAAGACTATTTTTATTTATTATAATATTATTATTATTCATATAAACCATTCTTCAAATTTATATTTTGATTTTCAATTTTTTTTTTTTTTTTTTTTCCTTCCTGTACTTTGATGTAACAATACAGTAGAGCCCACGATCTGGGATCACTGGAACTTCAGAGATTTCAATTTCAGAAATTTCTGGATTTTAGATCATCAGTTTAAATCTAATAAGATGGCACATAGAAATTATACAAAAATATGAAATAGTTATTTATGAAGTAATGATGTACTTCTGATTTTTAGGGAATCAAAACATACAAAAAAGTTCAATATTCATCATTTTATTAAACATTTCTTTCAATGTCAGTACTTAAATAAGTAAATTTTTTGCGCTAGTACTTCCTTTTTAATTTTATACGTAGACATAATTTCACAGTTACAAAGTTCTATAGTTTAAGTCTCGAAATAGCTGTGTAGAGAACCATATGCCCTTCTGAAGTACTCCTTTAAACACTAGTGGTCATGCATTTTTTCCTAATTATGAAAAGTATATATTTGTGCGTTCCTGCAGACTTGGACATGCCAAAATCATTAGTCTTGCTTTGGAATCTTTGTCATCATTAGAGCAAATTCTGCAGCTGCAGCTAAAGTATTTTGGGGAATATTTTGCTAAGAAAAACCAGTTTCACCAACTCTAGAAATCTGTTCCGGAGCTAACTTTTCACTATTAATGAGTAAATGAATTCATTAGTTCTTCATTCAGCAGTTCCAGAATTAAAAGCTTTTTTGGCATAACTGAAAATTCATAGCAATAGTAGCTTAAAAAAATAATAAGCTGGATCAAATTAAAACATTAAATCTTCAGTGGCTGTGAAATTAAGCAATCCTTTCTTCCCAAATATGATAATACCTGTCGATCATAAATTTGTAATTGTTTGTGTTAAATGCAATGCATAACTGGAAAGTGAGCTGAGCTCATTGATGACCATCCAGAGGTTGAGAAAGAGCACAATTTGTTGTGTTAACTGAACTTCAGTTCCTTTGCACCTTTCCTGCTGCTATGCCAACAAAAGAAAATCAATATGGGAAACATCCTATTCTAAACAAATATGTCTTGGGGCTTCATTTATTGTTTAGGTCAGAGAGAAAAACTTTAAACCCCCCAAAAGTGTGATTATACCAAAATCAATGCATTGTCATTGGCTAAGACGTGATTCCCTAGTTAGCAGGTGTTTGAAAGTTGCAGGCAAAAATCTGTTAGTCAAGAGAAAAAAAAAATCACAATAACGGTACATCATCTTTTTACTTCCTTGTACAAAGTAAAAAGGAAGTATTGTAATAGCGAAAAATTTCCGGCAGCATATTTCAACGAAAATATCCATTTTCACCGCTATCGAATTCAATTTAACGATGTTTTTGCGTGATATCTGTACGTAAGGACAGAATAAAAGACTCTTTTCGTCCAAAAAAATTACAAAACTGCTTTAAATTGAATTCTGAAGAGAATTTTTCATGGCGTCTGTACGAACGTATGTACATACGTACCTATCTCGCATAACTCCAAACCGAGTAGCCTCAGAACACTGAAATTTTGTATATAGGACTGCTATAACATGTAGATGTGCACCTCGTATTTTGGTTGCAATCGGCCGCACCAAACGTATATAAATATATAATATATATATCCACTCTGTTATCCGGCTCAGTGATCTCAGTTTTTTTACTCTTATATGTTTGTAAATTGTACACTTTTTGCTTCAAAAATGATTGAATTATGTTGTTCTTATCTTTCGGTTAAGGGTTTTATGCCTTTAGTAAATCTGTATGCAATATTTTTAGAATTATCAACAATTTTAAAGTTGTTTAAGTGCCACTAAGCCTAATAATTTTTTTGATGGCGGCCATTGCTTGTTTACATTTGAAACAGCAGAATAGTGGATATATTGCCAATCTAGAGAAACTTAGATTCGCAACAACAAAGATAACGTCTTCATTTATTATTGCGAATTAAATCATGCTTAATGCTTTCTGGAATTTTTTTGAGGAAATAAGTGTTTAAGATTTACTTCGTAATTTTTAATACTGATATTTTGAGTTTTTATGTATTTTTGCCTTGTTGCGAAGTGAGAACTGAATTAATTGAATGAGAAATACTCAATCATCTGTGAAAAACTGTTTCTTTTTCGTTTTGTTTGCTTAATTTCTTTTATACATCGTTCTAGCTTCATTATGGTATTTGAATAGAACATGTGGCAACGATTAGATAATTCTTTAAATGATATAAATTTTGTGCATTCTGAGTTATAATATGAACGAAATACAATACTTTTAAGTGAAACTAGCACTGAAGTGTCGCTATGGTAAACAAATAAAATGGATTTTTAAGAATGCATTTATTCTATTGTGGTTTATGCGCTGTCAGCGAAGTAGATTAAATTCAATCTAATAAGTTTAAATGAAATGCAAGAAAAAATGCGTATAATTTAATATTCCGTACAAGGAAGTCATGTGGTGTACACATCAGATTTTTTGTTTAGTATTTATAATCTCTATTCCTAAACTATTAACAGGAAAGAATTCTTTTAAAAAAAAGGGGGTTAGCGGTTTGGTTTGGTTTATTAGATTACGGCAAAGCACTCGAAGGCTATCTGCCTTCAGGGAGTTATGCCTTTGTGGAGGACTTTTTAAGGGAAACTGGCTCATATACACATTACCCATGGAGCCAGCCCGTTCACAGGATTCGAACCTCGGACCGGACTACCAGTGTTCAACGACGTTACTGCAGTTTGGGCCGTTAGCAGTTTGGAGGTCCGCATGTTATATTGCTGCAGACATTAGACTTTATAGCCAGATTTAGGGCTTTGTATTGTGTCACTGTTCAACTTTCAGCAAATAAAGTAAACTTACTAATTAGCTTTTAAATCTTTTGATTCATTAACAACATAATCAAAATATAAAATAAAATTTTTTAAAAAAAGTAACAAAAAAATCTGTAAGCTTTCAGATTTTACATTATGCCCAAAGGGACGTTTTTTAGCCTTTTGTGTGTTACCTTTATTTATTAAATATCATGTTCTTTGTACTTAAACCATTAAATTCATTTCAACAGCAATATCACAAAATAATTTTAAAATGAGCATGTCTTTAGAATTTCCGATACACAGTCTCGCGCACTGCAGGTAATTTTTTTTTTCCTTTCCCCCTGTACAGTTTTGCCACTGCTCACTTTGAAATCCTTTAGTTTGTTAATAAAAAATTCGTTGTCATGTTACAAAATATGAAATCAATAATAAACGAAATTTAAAATTCCGAATTAGGGCTTCCAGATGCTCATATTCAGCGGAAGATTACGTTATGTAAAATTTTATGGCTCTAGGTACCGTTATTTTATTAGAATGCAAGAAACATACACACATTTATAGATTCCTCATTATTTAATTTCTTTAAATATAACACAGGGTGATAATATTTGGTGGCAACAATTTGAAAAGTGAATCAATGTTTATAGTGAATCAATGCAAAATGCTGCAACGAAATTAATAGCTCTTCTGGGCTAACAATAGACATATTTTACTACTGCATTAAATTAAAAAATTATACGATGTGCCAAACTATATTAAATACTTAACCTAACCAATATTGAAGATCAACTTAATATAATGTTTTAAGTATACTAGTATGTAAAAGATAAGTATATTTAGAAGCTATGGTAAAAAATATACATAAGATACAGAAAGAAACATAACAAGCTAATGCATTATATTTTAAGTATTTAAATTATGATAGCATATTCAAACTATCTACCTATAAAGAAAAATTTAAAACGAATTAAGATTAGTAAATGATAACATAGATACAGAGATTTGATAAAATGAAATTTAACCTATCTGTACTATTTTACAGAACATAGCTGAAGAAACAAATTTTGTATATAAATAACATGGTAACCATAAATTTGCAGCAATGACAATTCAAAAAGCAACAAAGTTAATACAAAGTTATTTTTAAGCAAATAAAGAAGAATTTCAAGAAACTTGTTACAACTAATTCATACAATTAGTTGTACAAGTATTTCAATCTCATGCTAATGAGTTGCTTCAGAAAAATCTATTTATGTTGTAACATTCTAACATTTTAGTCTTATTTGAAAACAAAAAAAAAAAACCAAATATTTTCAACTTTCATTGGAGCTGCAAGAAATGCATTACAGATAAGATAATTTTGCCCTTAATATATAATTCTAAATACATTTTTAGACTTTCTAAATGCATATAAAAATTTGGTTTCAAATTGTTTTTAAAAAGAACATAAAAAAAAAAAAAAAATTAAAAAAAACCTACTTTTCTTAGAGAAAAATCACAGTTTTCCCTTTTCAAGATTTCAGATGAAGGAGATGAAGATACTGCCGGTGAGACTGTAGTTGGAATAGACAAAGAATCATAAAAAATTTGAGATAGAGGTTTAGGTGAAGAAAGAGTGGGATGAAGAGGTGAAGAAACTGATGCAGCAACTATTGGATCAATATCCACAATATCAGAATGGATTTGTGGAGGGTCAGCTGAAGAAAAATTTGGAGCACTAGAGGAAGGAAAATGTCTTGCTATAGATGAAGCAACAACTGAAACAACACGTGTATCGCTATGAAGAAACAAATGGAACAGCAGGTTGTACTGCAGCAGTTGAAGAAACAGGTTCAGCAACAACTGGAGAAACAGAAGGTGAGATACAGGTAGGAACAGATAGAATAAAAGGTGCAGGAAGCTGTTGTGCTGCTGCAACTGTAAAAACAGTTTGAGAACTAGCAGAGGAAACAACTGAAAGTGCGCCTGTAGCAACAACTAGAGGGATATGTTGAGGAACAGGTTGAAAAACAGCTGAAATTGCTTCGGAAGAGACAGGTGGAACAACAACAGTAGAAACTGCAGTTGCAGTTGGAATAACAGTTGAGGCAGATAGATTAAGAGCTGTAGAAATATGTGAAACAGCTAAACAGGTAGGTGGATAGATAGAGGACACAGCAGAAGGAGAATGAGGTGATGTAACAGCTGAACAAACAACTGGAGGAAGAACTGTAGAAAGTGCATCAGTACCAGCTGAAGTAACAACTGTTGAAACAGCTGAAGCAACAATTCCAGAAACAGCTGGATCAACAGCTGAAGAGGTAGCTGGAGAAACAGTGGGAGCCATACCTGAAACAGCATCTAAACAAACAGCTGGATACAGGAATGGCCTAGCAGGAGGAGGAAAAGGTGGAGCAACAGGTGGAGGAATTATAGTTTGAGGAATAGGTGGAGGAGGAAAAGGTGGAACAACAGGTGGACCTATAGGTGGATCAGGAATTATTTCAAAACTGCCTCTTTCATTATCCAGTTTTTTTCCAAAATGAGAGTCTTTTCCATCTAATTGGTTAAAATGCTTCATATCTGATGGTTTTGTACAGACAGCATTAAAATTATTAGAGCATTTGTTTGCAGGAATTTTATAACCCTTAAAATTTGTATATTTCTTTAACTGCAGGTTGCAATGTTTAGAATTTGTGATCAAATCATTGCGACCATCACTATTATGCATTACAACTGTTATTTGTCCTTTATCAAATATTCTTTTGTGTTTTGAACGAAAATTATTCTCTAAAACAGCAGCGTTTTCTATGCTATTTGACTTTTGGTCCTTGGATTTGTAATTTTGGCTTTGATATCCAGAACAGTTCCTCTGATCTGACTGAGTTAAATCTCTTCGTTCGAAGGAAATTTTCTTCTGTATTTTAAAAGCAGTGCTTTTTGAAAAAGGATTTCTCACAGTACATTCTTTTTGTGATAAATCTTCACAAATTTTGCTAGTTACATGATTAGAAAATATATTCTCTTTTTTTTCTAATGTTCTTTTTTTAACACCATCTTTTTCATGCAAGAAAAAGTCTGTTTCTGAAGAAACACTACAGTCTTTAGCAGTTTGATGAGGACGATTGGCAGAACACATTTTAGTTTTGAATGAATTTTTACAGCTACTGATATATTTTCCCTTGTAAATGCCAGCCAGAGGATTATTAAATGCTGTGCCTGAAAGATAAACATGATATTAATTAAAAAATATATATGTCATTATAAATAATTTAAAATATATGCCAAACAGTTTACACACATACACACTGAAGTGCCAAAATGCTGGAATAAAAAAGTTTGTGTAGATATAGTAATGCTACCGAAATATATCACTGATTACACTCACCAGTTCATACATAAAATTACAGATACACCTGGAAACTTTTAGAACAATTTTTGTTGTCAGAATCTCAATTTTTTTACAACTGAAGAAATTTTTCATGCAGTTAAATAGAAGGAGCTCTTGAGATGGCTCACAGCATTTTGAAAGTACAGGCAAAGACTGGATTTTAACGTACAATCATATAAAGAGTATACTGTGATTTTCAGTAAAACTTTCACCTATGTGGTGTAACTGCAAAAAGACATCAGTAAACATTACCAGAATTAGCTGGCATGAAATAAATAAAATCACTGCAGCACTATTATAGGTAATATTAGGATTCAAAGCTGTGGGTTTTAAGCATAAGAGGACTGTGGAATATTTCCCTGATTATATGGATTTCAGAAGCCAACACCAAACTTGAATGTCCTTTATGAATGCCCACATAAGCCTGACAATTCAGACACTGGGCACTTAACGACTGGAAAAGAACAGCCATGTCTGACCAGCTGTGTAAAGAAAATGATAATTTCTGGGTCTCTCACATCATCAGGATTATATAGAGTGTGCTGACTGAGATTTGTTTAGCTTTATAAACATCTCCAATAGGTGAATGCTATGAGTGCATTCTTCCTGTTAAGTTATATTTATTCATACCTTGCATTTATTTTGATGTGTTTGGCCATTTCTAATAGGATAATGTATAACCACACAAGTTTACAGATGCTAAATTATGATTAGAAAACTTCTTTAAATCTGCAGTCTTGTCAAAGCTACTAGATTTAAAAAAAGCTATTGACCAAATCTGTAATGTCAAGTAATATTGAGACACTGTATTGCATGACATTCCAGACATATTCAACAGTATTATTCAGAAACACTGTGAAATACCAAAATCCTTTTCTTCCATATATAACAAAATTATAGAATCTGCATAATGTATAGTGTTCATTATCAATAAAACTCTAGTTTAATCACTGAATTAATTTTTCTGCAATTTTATGCACTTGTGTGAGATGATGTACTAATTTTTCAGTATCTCAGCACATATACAGTTATTTGTATAAGATAATTTTGTACAGATGACTTGACGATTATAAGATAGCTATTAATGGCAAGATGTTGTCTTTGTAATTACTTGGAAAGGCTTTAATGTATAGATTCACAAATTGGCATAACAGAGACAGACTTCACCCCCTCCCCAAAAAATTTTATTTTTGGACATTCTCGATAAGCATAAATATTTCACACATCACAATGGGTGCAATAAGCATTCTCACCACTTTTATAAAATGGATAAGAGCAGCAGAGAAATGAACAACATGACTATGCACAGCCAGAGGCAGACAGGAAAAAAAGAGTATGCACTTCAGCACAGCATATTTATACAGTTGAAGCCTTTATTTAAATTTCTAATGGTGATTGGCCAAGAGCTATGGATTACTTTTCAGATATGATGTACTTAAAATTCCAGAAAGTGGATGCAGCCAAATTAAAAGAACTATTGCTAAATTACAATTAAGAATTTTCTTTCATGTTTTATATCTTACATATAAATTATCAAGATATAATAATTTAAGTACAATTGTTGGTTAACAGGAAAAATATACATAAAAACTGGAACAGAAGCAATATAAATATTATGAGCACAACCAGTGATTTTGGACAGAAATGCTCAAAAATAGTGAATTTATATCTTTGTACATATCGCATTCATTGTGCACAGGAACCAAAGGAATTAGATAAAGAGTAATGTTTAGAGTACAGTATATGTTTTCCAATCATTTGTTGACAATCATAGAATTTCTGAGCTTGATCGAGTTTTTCTTCACAGATGTCTGACAATCAGGCAAAGCCCTGTACATTGCCACTGCAATAACACACACCACTGCAATAATGTAACCTCATCTTCCACTGATGTTGAAGCAACTGCTTTCTTCCCTCAGTCAGGTTTCACATCCAATGATCCAGTCTCTCTGAACTTCAGAATCATCTTCCATAAGCTGACCAGATCATAAACACTTAAGTGTCTGGAATTTCTTAAAAGCACAGTCATCATTTTGATAAACAAGGTTCATGACAATAGCAAAATTTTCAGTGACTGATTCATGATGAGGAACTGAAATGCAGAGTAATGTATACTAATTAATTTCATGCATGACCTAGACATAATGTTTTTTCATTTCACTAGAAAAGTTCCTATATTTAGCGCCATCTGTTGGTGCATTTTAAAAGTACTATTTTTTTCCTTTGCCAAACAAAATTAAATTGCTTCATGTATATTCATGCCAAATTCCAGGTCATTTTGAAGAGTAGTTCTTACTTTACAGCATTTTGAAATCAACTTCACCTTGTACTAGAAGGAATTTTCTATAACTAATGTCAATGAAACAAAGTTTGCAGATTCATTACTAAGCTTTTTGATGAAGTTTGTTATTAATATGGCAAAGCTATTATATGCTTTACAAATTACAAGCAGTATTTCCTTAATTTGTACTCCTGTGTCACTACGTAGGTCTACCAAATATTAGAATGAAATTGAAAACTTTCATGGCCAGATTAATGCAAGTTTTGTTTCGATGATTTCCAGCTAAATATATACTATAATCCTAATTTAACAATTCAAATTAACAATTCAAAACTTAAATTGTACTTTTAATTATTTCTATTGATATGATGAAAATATTTGCAGATGAAGATTTATATGAGGATAATATGTAGAAGGACGGAATATGATATTTCACTCTCCCCATGCATCAAAGAATGCAATTTCAGCACTATGCACATTAAAAACTATATATTATACGATTATGGCTTTTCATTTTTTTTTAATTTTCCATTATGTTTTCTAGATTCTGCCAAATTAATTTTAAATGCCACCAAAATTTCATGAAAGCTGTGGCCACTTACACAAGAAAGTACCAAAATTTCTGTAGGACAATAAATTCTGAACTAATGAAATGGAACATCTAGTCACAGATAATTAGTTTTAAATTGGGAAATAATTAATTAATTATGACAAAGCACTATACTAGTTTATATTTACATTTATATAAGAACAGACAAATAAACTGGAATCAAACCCAGAATATAACTACCCATCTATATTTGCACAAAAGAAATGAATTTTGAAGATTACAAACCGATTCCTTCGCCCCCCCCCCCCACAAAAAAAAAGTGCTGTTCAGAAAAAGGTGCTACTTTGTTAGACGGTTGCACGGATTTTTGGCGATTTACGTTGGCGCGATTTCTATAAACGTCAGCCATCTTGAAAAACGCTGTTTTTACGCATAGTAAAGTATTCGAAACTTAAAAAAAAATATAAATATCGTTAGAAATAATGGATTAATTTTTTTGTTAAAAATGTCATTTTTTAAGATGGCAGGCAAGTGTAAATAAATACATTTACTATGAGTATAAAATACTA